GTCACTCAGTCGTGTCTGACTCTTTGTGACCTCATGGACTGTAGCCTGCTAGGCTCCTGTGTCCACGGAATTTTCCAGGCAAGAATACTGGAGTGGATAGCCATTCCCTTCTCCAGGGAATCTTCCCGACCCAGGGATCAAACTCTGGTCTCCTGCATTGCAGGCAGATTCTTTACCATCTAAGCCTCCACGGAAGTCCTAAACAAGCGGCTACTCATCTCCAAAGGGATCCCAATGGTCAAATATGGGACAATCTGGGCAAGAAAATGACAGGAGGAATGGATTGTGACTCATGGAATAAAACAGAGATCCTTGAGTCCATGTTGCAATAAATTAAAAGGCAAATGGGAGGAAAAGGAAAGTTCTTCCTTACGGTAAATTCTAATGAATACAGAGGAACCACAGAGATGGAAAATCACCATTTGGCAAACACCATGGTAACAACTGTTACCAGTACAAGTTGTCCATGGATGCTGAAATTAGGAGAGGAAAAGAATGACTTGTAAGAGGATATTCACATGGGATTAAAATACTCCCCCGCCCCAAGACACTTACTAGTCACAAAGGGACACCGTAACTTTTAAGTGGAGAGCAGGGCACCTCCGACGGGGGTCTAAGTGACAGCTACCAACAAAGGGCAGAGTGCCCGCCGGTGCCTCCTGAACGGACGCACCCCCAGGGGCTAGCACTGCGTCCGTGAAACACACGACCAGCATCAAATACACCAGAAATGCAAAACCTACATTTAAATCATGAGGAAACAGCAGGGACATTCTATGAAAAAACTGACCAGCACTCTTCCAAAGGGCTTTCCAGGTGGTGTGAGTGGTAAAGAACCCACCTGCCAATGCAGGAGACATAAGAGAAGTGGGTTTGATCCCTGGGTTGGGAAGATCTCCTGAAAGAGGGCTTGGCAACCCACTCCAGTATTCTTGCCTGGAGAATCTCATGGACAGGGGAGCCTGGCGGGCTACAGTCCAGGGGTCTGCAAAGAGTCAGACTCGACGGAAGTGACTCAGCATGCATGCACTCTTCCAAAACTGCCAGGGTGCTGAAGGACAAAGACAGACAGGAACAGCTCACAGTAAAGGGTGTGTGTGTGGGGGGGGGGGGTGACACCAACACAGCACGTCCAGAAAGAGGGTCCCTGGGCTAGTCAGCACTGGAGTCAAGGCGGATTTCCCTCTTTTATAATCATTGGGTTCTTGCTATGTAAGATGTTGGCCTTTGGGAAAGCTCTAAGGACACATGGGAATTCTCCACACTATTTTTGCAACCTCTCTGTAAGTGGGAAACTGCTTCAGAATGAACAGTTAAACACAGTTTTTAAAAGTGCACCCCAATGTTCATCGCAGCACTGTTTATAATAGCCAGGACATGGAAGCAACCTAGATGCCCATCAGCAGACGAATGGATGAGGAAGCTGTGGTACATATACACCATGGAATATTACTCAGCCATTAAAAAGAATTCATTTGAATCAGTTCTAATGAGATGGATGAAACTGGAGCCCATTATACAGAGCGAAGTAAGCCAGAAAGATAAAGACCATTACAGTATACTAACACATACATATGGAATTTAGAAAGATGGTAACGATAACCCTATATGCAAAACAGAAAAAGAGACTCAGATGTATAGAACAGACTTATGGACTCCGTGGGAGAAGGCGAGGCTGGGATGTTTCAAGAGAATAGCATCGAAACATGTATATTATCTAGGGTGAAACAGATCACCAGCCCAGGTTGGATGCATGAGACAAGTGCTCGGGCATGGTGCACTGGGAAGACCCAGAGGGATCGGGTGGAGAGGGAAGTGGGAGGGGGGACTGGGATGGGGAATACATGTAAATCCATGGCTAATTCATTTCAATGTATGACAAAAACCACTGCAATGCTGTAAAGTAATTAGCTTCCAACTAATAAAAATAAATGGAAAAAAAAAGTGCTTATTAGCTGATAATTACTGATGGATACCTGGGGTTTCATTATGTTCCTCTCTGTCAACAGATACTTGAAACATTCCATGATAGAAAGTCAAAAAGAGACTGGTTTAAAAAACAAAACCACCTTATTTGGATTCAATTCAAAGAAATCTACATAAAAGACACTCATTTGAAAAGACCCTGATGCTGAGAAAGGTTGAGGGCAGGGGGAAAAGGGGACAACAGAGGATGAGGTGGTTGAATGGCATCACCAACTCAATGGACAGGAGTTTTCATAAACTCCAGGAGTCGGTGATGGACAGGGAGGCCTGGCGTGCTGCAGTTCATGGGGTTGCAAAGAGTCAGACACGACAGAGCGACTGAACTGACTGACTGACTGACTGACTGAGACAGCCAGGGAAATTTAAATATGAGCTGGTATTAGATAATACTAAGGAATTACTACTGATTTTGTTAGGGAGGGTTTTTTTTCTTTTAGGTAGGGTTTTTTTTTTTTTACAACATGAAAAAAATAACATAAAAGTTACCAATGTAGCCATTTTAAAGTGTACAAATCAGTGGCATTAAGTACATTCACCATGTTGTGAAACCATACCACCTCTGAGTTTCAGACACTTTTATCACCCCAAAAGGAGACCTCATACCCACTGGCAGTCACTCCCCATTCCTCCATACTCCCAGCCCTGGCAGCCGCTCATCTATGAATATTTTATGTCTCTGCGGATTTGCCTATTCTGGACATTGGGCTTCCCTGGTGGTTCAGCAGTCAAGAATCTGCCTGCCAGTGCAGAAGACCTGGGTTCGATCCCTGGGTCAGGAAGATTCCCCTGGAGAAGGAAATGGCAACCCAACTCCAGTATTCTTGCCTGAGAAATCCCTCACGGAGAGGAGCCTAGCTTTCTGCAGTCCTTGGGGTCACAAAGAGTTGGATACAACTTAGCAACTGAACAACAATAATTCTGGACACTGCATATAGTATACAAATGTTAAATATGTACAATGTGGCCTTTTGTGACTGGCTTCTTTCACTTATCATCATGTTTTCAAAGTTCATCCACACTGCAATATTTTTCAGTATTTAATTCTTTTTACCACTGACATATTCTACTGGGACAACAGACCACATTTCCTTCACCCATTCACTTGATGAACACTTGCATTATTTCCACCTTTTGACTATTGTGAACAGTGCTGCTCTGAACATTTATGTATAAGTTTTTGTTTGAATACTAGTTTTTAATTGTTTTGGATATATACCTAGAAGTGGAATTGCTAGGGTCATACAATAATTCCACATTCAACTTATCATGGAACTGTTCCATAGCGGCTGTTTTTCATAGTGGGTGCTCCATTGTACATCCAGGATTCCTATATTAGGGTTCCAATTTCTCCACATCCTCCCAACGCTTGTTATTTTTCTTTCAAAACTATTATGGTAGTCCAAGCGGGTGTGAGGTGGGATCTCACTGTGGTTTTGACTTGCATTTCCTGAATGAGTAATAATGCTGAACACCTTTTTGTGTTTTTACATTACTGTTAAACGTCTTAATGCATTGTAATCAGGTCAAAAACAACCATCGCTTTTTGAAAGGCATACTATGATCTGAAAGCATATAACATTAAGTGTTGGATTTGCTTTATAATACAACAGCAAAACAAAAAAGTAAATTTCTAAAAAGAACAAAAAGGGATAGAAGGGAATGTGATATTATCTTTTAAATGTTGCATCTGTGTGATAGACAGATGAGGAGAATCACAGAGTTGTTCTGCTTTTGTGCATGTTTGAAATTTGCCATAATAAAACAAATCTTAACATTTGTCAATATGAACTGAAGTCGTGAAAACCAGGTTATTCATTCCTGTCACCTTTACCAAATAAATTCCCGCTCTACCAACCTCACAGGGTACTTCCTGTGAGGGACCTCTGAGACCTGCGTTTTCCGACTTTCAGGCGAGGTTTGGGTGCAGGGGGTCCAGACTTCCACGCTGTGTGCTCTTTTCCTAGGTATCGTGAGAGACCAGTGCTCCAGACTGGAACAGGCATGGGAAATTCCGGTCCAACAGGGCGGGAGCAGCAAGGGGACCCAGGCGGCACCAGCCTTGCCATAGGATGCTGACACGGTCCCCTGGTGCCCTGTCCAAAACAGACAGCAGGACAGCCTGGATGTCTGCAGACGCATACCCACTGTTCCTTCAACAACACTGTCAGGACCCCACCGGCCGGAGGGGACCAGCTCACTCCACCTGGCAAGTGGGGTGGGAAGACACTAAAATCATAACTGCTCTTTTTTCCTTCAGAGATGTATGTTTGGAAGGCAACATGTGTCAAAAGCAGTTATAATGTGGGACTTCCCTGGTGGTCCAATGGTTAAGACTCTGCACTCCCAACGCAGGAAGCATGGGTTCGATCCCTGATCGGGGAACTAAGATCCTGCAGGCTGCCTGGTGTGGTCAGAAAAACAAGCTGTAATGTAACGGTGGCCAGGTGCATGATTTTATTCCTGCATATTCTTTTCATCTTGCTGGACGCTGTCTTTCCAATGAAATAATTTCAGTACACTGACCGGACTCGTTAATTCCGATCCTTCCAAAGAGGCAGCAAAAATCTTAGGAAAAGCCACAGGCGTTTCTCTTTTTCACTCTGGTCATTTAGTCGCGAAGTCCTGTCTGACTCTTTGCGACCCTGTGGACTGTAGCCCACCAGGCTTCTCTGTCCCTGGGATTTCTCAGGCAAGAATACTGGAGTGGGTTGCCATTTCCTTCTCCAGGTGATCCTCCCAACTCAAGGACCAAATCCTTACACAGACACTGATTCGATAGGTTGAGAACGTTCAGTGGGCCTCCTTTGCTGTTTTTCCCCCGACATCCCAGTCAGATCAGCTCTCACGCCTGGGGATGGAGGAGGAAGGGGTATACCAGCTTGGCTGCCTGGCAACCTCCCCGGGGGTGCCTGAGCCCCCAGACTCATCTCAGGCACCCAGGTTGCCCCTGGGGAGCACGCTGGCCTCCCCCGACAGCTGCCTCTGTGTACACACTTTGGGGGGAGCCGGCTTACCTCATGGGCTTCCACGCCCATCTCTTGCAGGGCGGACTTGAAAAACTCGGGGGAAGGCTTTCCCACCACCTCGGCTTCAATACCACAGGCATACTAGGGGAGAGAGAAGGACACAGCGTGGGTTGGGGACCAAGGGACGCGGAGGGGGGAACCCTGGCCTGGTGAAATCCTCCCCCCAGGGAATCAAAAAGAAACCCCCCAGTGTGTACCCAGGGGCCTCCAAGGGGCAAGACACACGGGCCCAGAGGCACGCCTTGTGGGTGAGCGTCACAACCAGGCTGCCCAGGGTGCTGAGGGCACCCCCCACCAGGCCCCTGCCACCTGCCCCAGGGCCAGACGACCTCCGACCTCCAGGACCTCTGACCTCCTGGGTGTTAGGGCGTTAGGGACGTTTCTCTGCATTCCTGCTTCCCCTCCCTTCCTCTCTCCCTTCCCCCAGCTCTGTCTCAGGTCCTCCAGTGAATAAAAGGCCCAGGGCCCCAGCTATTGCAGGGAGGCAGGCGCCAAGGCGGCAGTGACCCAGGGCTGGCCTTAGCGGGGAGCCCAGCTGAGCCCGGCCCTGGAAACTGGAGGAGGGGACTGGGAAGGAGCCCAGGTAGCACACAGGGGTCTGAGGAGCTGCAGAAAAGCAGGCTGAGGCACGAGGCAGGTGCACAGGGATCCAGGAGCCAAGAACCCGGAGGAGAGGCGCAGAGCATGCCGGGAGGGCCAGCGGGCAGAGGCCCGGGGTGCGGGGATGGGGTCCCGGGAGCGGGGCAGGGAAGGAGCGACTGGGAGCAAGGGGCCAGTGCAGCTGAGGGGCCAAGCTCCAGAGGAGGCGATGGGCCGGGCTTAAAGCCATGAACACAGCGTCCAACTTGGAAAACATAAAGGCACTTGGGATGCCGAGCACCCCATCTTCTCCAGGAAGACTGGGACATCCAGGAAGGCCCTGAGACCAGAAGAGGGTCGGGCGGACCCAGGCAGGTACCTCAAGCGCCTTCATGTAGGGACCGACGTCCAGCATCAGGCCAGAGGTCTCCTTGTAGTAGCGTCTAGAAAAGAGCCGAGGGGGACAGGGTGAGCTGAGCCCAGGAACCTGGGAAGCGCCGAGGATAAACTGCCCTGTCCTGGTTCTGGGCCAGCCCAAGAGGGCTGAGTCACAGGCCGGGGGTGAGGGCAGACGCCACGCCATGCTGAGACGGAGGTCAGCACAAGAGCCCAGCAGTGGCCAGCATGCCGGGGCAGGGGGGGCGGGGGCGGCTGGAGGAGGGGAGAGATGGGGGGCCAGCAGCTCTCAGAAGGCTCCCTGTTGCCAGCCGCGTGGGGACCACACCACAGTGATGAATGGGGGACCCTGGAGGCAGCTGGGTCCAATTGCTAACACAGAGAAACACAAGTAACCTGTGTTCTGGGAAAGGGCAGCCGGTCCACAGAGCATGTGGTGAACCCCTAATTGCTAATAATTAACCCCTAATTGCTGCCTGGAGAAGAAAACTCCATTAGTTCCACAGCATCTCCTAGCAGCTGGAGGGTCAGGAGAGGTGCCAGGCCTCACGGGCGCCAGATGCTTCTATGAGACGACAACTGTTTCTTCCCTGTCTCACTGGAGGCCGAGACGGCTTGGCTCCTGGCATCGCCTCCTAAGCCGATCTCACCTCTTCCCTCCTGCCAGCGCTGTGCCCAGGCCGCACGCAGACCCCTCGGGGCACACACACACAGGTCCAGCTCTCTCGGAGCACAGCTCTTTGACTATCAAGTGGGGAGAAGGTAGTTTGTTTGCTCTGTGCTGCTCTGAAGGGAGGGTTAAACGGGACCCCAGGACTGTTAAACGTTTTAAGACCCATCACACCAGTTACCCTTCCCCGTTCCCATGACTGTTGAATCTGGGAGGAATGACACAACATGGACGTGACCTAAATGCCCTCGGACAGATGAATGGAGAAGATGTGACACACGCACGCAATGGGATATTAGTTAGCCACAAAGACAGAGAGAAAGAACGCCATTTGCAGCAATATGCATGGGCCTAGAGATTATCACACCAAGCAAAGGAGTCAGAGAGACAAACACCGTATGATATCACTTATATGTGCAATCTAAAAGAATGACGAAGATAAACAGCATGTATGTGGAAAAGCAAAGAGAAGACTAGTGAAGCCTGCTGACTTCAGGGCTCAAATCCTCTTCTGACTTGCCTTCAACTGTGGGACTCTGGGTTGCATACGCCCTCTGGGCCTCAGTCTCCTACCCTGTAAAATGGGCCAAAAGAAGCCCCAGTGCCTACCCTCGTGGGCTGCTGTGAGGCGTAAGCAAAACAATGCCGGAGAAGTTCCTAACGTGATGCCTGGGGTGAAGAAACCGCTCCAAAAATGTAGCCACCCAGACAGATGGGCAATAAGATATGAGCCAGGGAAGAAAGAATGAACGCAGGTCTTTCCAGTTTGTGGGGGCCGGACCCTGTCCTGTGTCTGCTGGAAATGGTACGACCGAGCTCCCGGAAGTTGCCTCCAGCAGCTTCCTTCCTCTGGCCCTGCAGCACCCAGGGACTCTGCCTGCCTCTCTGGGCCCCACCCGAGGCCTCCAAGGCTGCAGGAGCCGGGCCGCCCACAGCAATCACCCCAACCCTCGGGTGGAAGAGGCGCTCAGATGCTCTGCATCCTCACTGCCTGCCCCGGAACCTTCCGTCCAGACACAGGCTGGGCTGCAGCCAAACTCTTGGCCTTGGCAAGGGCTGGTCCCCTGCCACTGACCAGGCAGATCAGAGCCTGACTGCTGAAGCCATGGGGGCCTCTCCCATCACGAACGGACCCCTCTCCAAGTCAACTCGGGCCTCAAGGTCAGGGTCCAAGGCTCTGCACGCTAGGGGTCGTGCCGTGTGGACGTGACCCGGCTGGGAAGCCGCACATATGCAGGAAGGTGCCTAGGAGCCAGGAGAGAGCCACTGGTGCTCATGGAGCTGGGACCCGCCAACGCTCCCCTTCTTAAGGGAAGTGAAAGTGTCAGTTGTTCAGTCATGTCTGACTCTTTGCGATCCCGTGGGCTGTATAGTCTGCCAGGCTCCTCTGTCCACAGAATTCTCCAGGCAAAAAATACTGGAGTGGAGAGCTATTCTCTTTTCCAGGGGATCTTGCCGACCCAGGGACCAAACCCAGGTCTCCTGCATCTGCAGGTGGATTCTTTACTGAGCCACCAGGGGAGCCCCCCTTTTAAAAGAGTGACCCCAAAACCTAGGCTTAGAGGTTCCTAACTGTCTTTGTTTTAAGTCTGGACTCTAGACATCTATCCTGTGTTTATACAGCCTCAAAACAGTGTTTGCTTTTATTTTTCCCCAGTTCCACAAGAAACTACTTGGGTATGATTCCCTCAGTTGGGTCCAGGGTTAGAAGGAGTGGCCAAGTAAAGCCAAACGTGGCCAAGAGGCAGAGGGGGACACCAGAAGCTAGGGCCTTGGCTCTTGGGGGGGCCGCTGGCATCCGCTAACTCAGTCCCCCAAGCATGTAGGACGAAGCTGTCCCGCACCCCTTTGCAGGGGACACTCTCAGACCCAGGCTGCTCCCCAGGGACTCCCCGTCCGGTGGGGAAGCGGACAGGTCCACAGACAAATATGAAAGAGCAGGACCTGGGTGATGGCAAGGGGAACCCTGTGCTCTGCGCGCTCTGCTTGGGGAGGGCCGGGCACGTTGGGGACGGGGCGGCAGGGAGGCATCCCAGAGGAGGAAGCATCAAAGCCAAGGCCTGAAGGTCAAGGGGGATGAGTGGAGGGGTCTAGACCTGGGGGCTCTCAGACTTGGGACCTTCCTGAGGGTCCCGAGTGCCAGATGCTGCTCCAGGTGCACGGGAGTCCGTCAGATGCTCAGAGGCACCCCCTTGTCCCCTACCCTCCAGGAAATGCCCAGCCAGGGTGAGACGGGAGGGAGCTGGGTCGGCGGGGGGTGGGGGGGTGGTTCTCCGAGGGCAGGGCACATTGAAGAGAGCTGGGGCACCGAGGACAGAACCCAGGAAAGAATGCAGGCAGCCCAGGAGAGGACAACCCAGGCGCCAAGGAAAAAATTATAAAACAAGGCTGCTCTGTTGCAACACACACAGCTCTGTCTGGAGCTGAGGATTCTAGGAGCCTCTGGCCCAGGACAGGCTCAGCTCTGAGCCGGCTGCAGGAGGCGGGAGCTGGCGGCACCTCCCTGTGGAAGGGCCTCCCAAGGACACCCATGCCGCACCGCTTCTGCCCGATGCATCCTCCCCCGAGTCTTCCTTCCAGAGTGACACCTTCTGACTGCACCTTCTTCAGTTTAAATTTAGTCCCGGTGGGAAGAAGAATCAGAACATGCGGCTAAAAAGATCCAATCAAAACCCTCTCTTTGTCACACTGATTTTTGGAACCTAAAGAAAAAAACTAACTTCCATAAATCAAAACGAGAAACCTTAATATTTCTTTTTAAACTAAATGTGGACTCGCTTTCACAGGTCGAGAACTTGTCTTTCTTATTCATCCGGGAAAACAAAAAGGCATCTTGAAGGCCATCTTTGGCCCAAAACATTTTTAGAGATACAGTAAACACTAGTACCCAAGTTAATTTTTCTTATCCCCCAAACACAAGAGATTTGATATATTTATTTTCTGTTACTGGCATAACAAAAGCCACAGCAGGTCTGGCTTGAACCTGACTACTCCAGCCACAAAGAAGAATCCGTGGATTCCAGAAAGACAGGAAAAACCCAGAGAGCAGCAGTCAGGTAGATTTTATGCTTTATTCCTCTGCCCTCCCTTCCGATTATTCAGCACAGCCTCCCTTCAAAATGACCACTTGACCTTTCCCACAAGAGCCATTAACCTTCCATAGCCGGTCGCGTAAACAGCTTAATTTTCTGATGGAGGCATGACAGAAGAAATTACAAAGGCAATTCCCACTCTTGGTCCAAACAGATGCCAAATGTAAATCACTCCGTTTCCAGGACGAGGACATTCTGCCCCAGTGAGTCCACCACCCTGCCTCCTTGGGGGCACCTCGCGGCCCCACTCGGGTGAAGGATGGCCCCTCATCACCGGTGACCCTCACCTGGATGTGACAGCAGCTCTTCCTGGGTCCTTGGGTTGTCCCAGGGGGCTATGACCTAAGCCCAGAAGCTGTTGGCTCCTTTCTCTGATTTCTGAGCACCCAACCCATAGCCCAAGTCAGAACCTCCAGCAGCTAGAGAACGCCTCCCTAGCTGCTTACTTGGAAAACAAATCTTTGCCTACTACTGAATTTGTTATAGAAGTACAAAGCTAAAAGAAACTGTTTTCTTTTTTTTTTTCTTTATTTTTCAACCACATACCTATTTTGCCTACTATCCCTGATCTGGAAAAATAATAATTAAAGATAATTTTGAAGAAAAAAGGTTTAATGTAAATGAGTAATAACAAAGCTTCTTAATTGTGCTGTTCTTTAGCGAGGGGTTGGTAACTTTAGGGATGCCTACAGGACCAAGCCAGGAACGTAAAAGAGTCAAGCTGGCCAGCTTCTGTGGTTTGCAGTGACCTAAACCACAGACGGTAAAGATCAGCAAGGAACTCTGGCAGCTAATTTTATGTCAACGTGGCTGAACCAAGCTGCCCAGATATTTGGTCTAATGGTATTCTGGATGCTTCTGAGAAGACGCATCTTGGATGCGTTCTTGGATGACATTCACATTTAAATCAGTGGACTCTGAGTAAAGCAGATTGCCCTCCATAATGTGGTGGGCCTTGTCCAATCAGTTGAAAGCCCAGCCAAAACAAAGTCTGACCTCTCCAAACAAGGAGCCTGCCGGTGGACAACCTTGGCACTCAGACGGCAGCTCTTCCCTAAGTCTCCAGCCTGCTGGCCTATGTGGGAAAAACCTAGCCTCCACAATTTCTCTTTATATACCCATCTTCCTCAACCTATGACAGGGTTATGTTCTGATAAACGCATTACAAGCTGAAAATATCATTAAGTCAAAAATGCATTTAAAAAAAAATGCATGTAATAAACCCAGCCTACCTTAAATATGCTCAGAACACTTATATTAGCCTATAGTTGGGCAGAGTCATCTAACACAAAGTCTATTTTATAATAAAGCACTGAATATCTCATGTAATTTGTTGAACACTGTACTGAAAGCGAAACTCAGAATGGTGGTCTGGGTACAGAATGTTCGTACGTGTATTAGCTGTTGACCCTCGTGATTATGTGGCTGCCTGGGAGCAGTCAGTGCCCAGCACCTGCCCAGCATCACCAGAGAGGACTGCACTGCCTGTGGGAAAGGATCAGAATTCGAAATTCGAAGTACGGTTTTTCTGAATGTGCATAGCTTTCACACTATAGCAAAATCGAAAAGTTATCATTTGAACCACTGCTCAGTCAAGAACTGTCTGTATATACGTCACCACACCCTGTTAGTTCTGTTTCTCTGGAGACCGCTGACTAACACAGGACACACTTTTTTGCATGATAAACACACTGGAATATTTGCAGCAGGACAAAGGTCCATACAGTTAGGGCTATGTTCTTTCCAGTAGTCATTACGGATGTGAGTGTGGACCATAAAGAAAGCTGAGCGCCGAAGAATTGATGCTTCTGAACTGTGGTGTTGCAGAAGACTCTTGAGAGTCCCTTGGACTGCAAGGAGATCCAACCAGTCCATTCTAAAGGAAATCAGTCCTGGGTGTTCATTGGAAGGACTGATGCTGAAGCTGAAACTAAAATACTTTGGCCACCTGATGTGAAAGAACTGACTCACTTGAAAAGACCCTGATGCCCTGATGTGAGGGCAGGAGGAGAAGGGACGACAGAGGATGAGATGGTTGGATGGCATCACCGACTCAACGGACGCGAGTTTGAGCAAGATCCGAGGGATGGTGAAGGACAGGGAAGCCTGGCGTGCTGCAGTCCGTGGGGTCACAAAGAGTTGGACATGACTCAGCAACTGAACAACAAAAGAAACATATCCTCCCTTCTCTTTCTTTAAATCTCTTTCACTTGCCTATTTAAAAAAAAAAAAAGCACAGCCATGAAAAAATATTTCTCTACTATGAGAAAAGCAACCGCCAGCACAAGCCAACCCTGAAGCCTGGAGATGGGCAGGAGGACGTGGTGGGGTCTCCGCTGCACCAGAGCTGAGGGACCAGTGGCTCCAGCCAAGTGGCAGCACATTCGGGAATGTGGGGCAAGTACCCTCAGATCTTCTGATTTTTCAAGAGAATCCAGAAATCCAGTTATTTTAGGTAAAGTCTCCCAATTTTTAAAATGGCCTCAAAAAAGTTTAAGATCTTGCGTGGACCCAATACCTGCTCTCGAATGGAGCCTAAAGGTGGCAGAACACAGGCTCTGGGGCGCACTCCTGGCCACGCCCGCAATGACTGATGGGGCGACCGTGGCTCCCCTCACCTCCCCAGCCTTGACATACCCATCTGTAAAATGGCAATGATGCTGCCTACGGCTCGCAGGGTTGCGGTCAGAATTAGGCATGGTGAACTACAGAATGCTTCACAATGGCCAGCGGCCAGATAAAACGTCCCCCTCGTGTCTACTGGAATAGCCACCCCCGTCCGGCAGGCAGAGGTGGGAACTCCCCAGTCACCAGAAGCACCTAAGTTTGGAAAAGGCTTCCCCAGGGGTGGCCACAGAATTCCTGCCCTGCGCGCGAAGCTGGGGTCGGGTTCCACAGCACCCTTGTGACTCTAAAACCCTAGTGCTGCTTCCACGGAGGACAGAATAAACCTGCACTGCTTTCTGGGAAGCAACTTGACAACACGCACCAAGAACCTCAAAAAATACACATCATCGGAAATGCCAGAAAGAGGCTGGTCAGAGCCTTACTCAGGGAGAAAATCAGAAACAACCTACAGCAACTACAGGAGAGCCTATAAGAAAAGTGAATGGGAATAACCTCGCCACAGAGACGTCTACTTCTTATATGGAAGTGTTGGTCACTCAGTTACATGGGCCCCTTCGCGACCCCATGGACTGTAGCCCCCCAGGCTCCTCTGTCCACAGGATTCTCCAGGCAAGAACACTGGAGTGGGTAGCCATTCCCTTCTCCAGGGGATCTTCCCAACCCAGGGATCGAACTCGGGGCTCCCACATTGCAGGCAGACTGTCTACCCTCTGAGCCACCAGGGAAGCCCTACTGTATAGAAAGTGGTTCACAAAATATTCAGTGAACGACTAAAACCGGGTGACAGAACTATGTCAAGTTAGATTCTGAAGCAGTGAACACACCCATGTGTAATGATTTCTGCAAAGAAAACTGCTTGGAAGGACACACACCAAAATGCCGACCGCTGTCTCCTCCTGCGGTGGGACTGAAAACGCTGTTTTCCTCTTTTCACTCATCTGTATTCAACAGTTTTTCTTCAATAAAGATGCGTTGTCTTAGTGATAAAAGAGGTTAAGAGAAATAATCAACACAGTGTTTTAAAAGAGGCGGTAAGGCCCAGGCTGCAGACTCGGACAAACATGCTGGTGAGAAAATGACAAGTTGACAGACTGCTCCACAACCAGAGGTGTGGGGCCCAGACGCGAGCCCAGGCCCTCTCGAGCCTGCTTTCACTGCTCGGGCGTCCGTCTCCTCGGCACAGCCCATCAGCCCTGGGCCGTGTCCTGTGACAATGACTGAAACTCGGCACGGCCACCCTGATCTCCAGGGGTCTCCTCTGCAGTGACCCACCCCTGCCTCCGGCCACTCCCAGCCACTCACAAGGAAGCTTGACCAACCAGCTGAAGACCAGGTCTCTGCTCAAAAATTATCAAAAGACAGGGATGATGAAATGAAGGAAAAAAGCAAGAAAAGGAGAGGGAAGGAAGAAGGAGCCACACTGCGTCCACCCCATGCCCACCCTTCCCAGCTTCTCTGCTGATTCCTTAAGCCAGAGAGACCCACGGAACACTGCCCGGAGTGGCTGGAAACGACTCCCCCGCAGCCGACTTACCCTTTTCCCAGTGAGAAAAGCACGGGGTTTTCCAGCTCCATGAGCACCTGGAAAGCTTTATTCATGTTTCGATAAGAAAAGCCTTCTCCAGCGTCTGCAATTACGACACAGTTTGGGTTGGATGTGTCGATCTGATCAAATTCCGAATGGACTCCTGGAAAGAGGGAGAGAGAAGGGTTCGATCCCTGGGTCAGGAAAATCCCCTGGGGGAGGGCATGGCAATCCACTCCAGTATTCTTGCCTGGGAAATCCCATGGACAGAGGAGCCTGGTGGGTTACAGTCCATGGGGTCACAAAAGAGTTGGATATAACCGAACGACTTAGGAATAACCACCACCACCAAAGTCTGCAAGTGACTTTGAGATGCATCAAAAAGATAAAGATGGATAGATGGATGCAGGGATGGGGAGACGTATAATGAAGAAAACATAGCAAAATGTCATTGGTAAAGTCAAGGTGAAGGGCAAACAAATATTCCAAATAAAATTCTTTCAGCTTTGCCATCTGTTTGAAAATCCTTATAACAAAAGTTGGGGGGGGGTTGGAATTCATCAACAATAAAACCTGAAAAAGATTCAAGGTCTGAAAAGACAGGGACACCTGTGCAAAACACAGATGCAAGAGTACAGGTGACGAAGGGCATCTGGCTTCTCCCACAGCTTCTCGAGCGCCAACATCTGCCTGTTGGACTCACTGATGAAGACGTCTTCAAGGGGAACACTGAGCTTCCCTCTCATCTCTGGTAGGTACACCCCAACCCGTCCCTCTGCCCCTGCCCCGGGGAGGGGAGGATTTTCTCTCTTAAATCTTTCTGTTACTTTAAGGACCTGTTCTAAAGACACTGGCAAGGATCCCAGATCACAGAGGAAGCATTTCGAGAAAAACAATTTCTAAAGGCTGGGCATGTCGCCCTCGACTGGCGCCAGAGCTGTGGACTTGGCCTCCAGACCTTCAGGGAGCTCTCTCCACTTCTGGGAGGCCCCTACCCCTGTCCGGGGGAAGAAAAGCGTGCTTGCCTCTGCCACAGGTTTGTAAATGACAACGTTGTTTCTGTGCAACAACAGAAAAGTGTCCTGAATTCCGAAGCATGTACTGTCTCTTCTTTTTAAATATTCAGGAGGCACCAGGTAATACTGTTCTTTCTTCTTCATTTCAGCAAAACTCCCAGCTGAGGGTCAAAGGGACTCTGTCCTTGCCTTCAGACTGATGTTAGCAAGTAAACCTGTGCCATTAGCCAGAGCATGGGGCTGGTTTTCACAAATACGGTTCCGAAACCTACAGACCTAGCTTTGCATCTATTCTGTTTGTCTGTCTGTCTGTCTCTCTCTCTCACACACATAGACACAGACCCCAGAGGCTAACATCTTGCCCCACTTGACAATTTCCTGCCACCTTGCTCCAACCTGGATCACAGAAAACAGACTCAGGGTTTTCCTGCCTCCAAGGAGACATATAGACCCTGCCTCTGACCACCCCCACCGGACCCCAATCCTCAGGCCTGGGATGATGCCAGGATGGATGGGGCCAGGGTCCCAGCAGGGAGCCCCTGGGTTCCACCCCAAGGCCCACAGGTCTAAGAAGGGCCAGGTGCCCCCTCTGTGTCCTCCCCAGCCCCCAGCTGGAAAGGGGGTGCCTTCACCCCGCCTCTGAGGCCCAGGGGGCCTACCGTCATGGACGAGCAGGTGTGGCCGCAGGCCTCGCTGTTTCAGGATCAGGCAGGCGGCGGGGGCCGGGGCGGTCACCTCGCCCTCGGAGACGTCGAAGCCCAGCCGTCGCAGCAGCCCCACCAGGTCCGCCCGCGACTTCTGTGACTCGTTGGTGCAGAACCTGACCTTTAGTCGGGACCGCTTCAGTCTGCAGAGGGGAGAGAGGCGGTGGGGGGCTGTCAGCAGGCAGCCCGGCCGCCCAGGGAAGGGCCTAGACGGGTGCTTCTCCGGGGGAAAACAGTCCAGAGCAAGCCGGGTCTCCACGGGCCCCTGAGCTGGGCCTCAACAGCCTCGCCGGACCCTGGGGTTTCCGAACTGAAGACCCTTCTCATCCTCGCTGAGCTCGGCGCACCTGAGACGCCCCGAGTTCCCACGTGACCTCCGCTCTGCCTGGGACACGGCCATGCTGCTCCACCCGGGACACATCTCCTCTTCACACGAGCCAATCCGCCCACCTCCTGGGACCCACTCGACACCTCCCCGCCCCACCCCGCACCGCTCAGCCTGGTCGAGTTCCCCTCTGAGCAGCCCGGCCACCCCTCTGGGCCCTCCCGCCACAGTGAGCATCTCCACTGAGCATCTGAGCTGACCCGAGTATCCACGTTTCCCCAAAATGCAAAGGCCGAGGGGTCACAGGCCGACGTGTGCCATCTTGCTGCTGTCACTCAAGACAGGTCTGCCAGACGGAGTCATCGGGCGCACGGGCGAGCTAACGGGACGGGAGCCGGGGATGCCCACGGCGTTGGCAGCTCCGACAGCCCGTCCGGGCCCATGGGAGGCTCTGCGTCCCCGCTGCACCCGGGCCGGCTCTGCGAAGGCAAAGTCACAAAAGCTGGTGCCCAGAGAGAACCCAGGGAAATAACACCGAGCCCTTCGCCGACAGCGACTGAGCCCCAACTCACGGGCCTGCGGGGCTGGGCACTTGGACATGCCGCGGTGTCCGCAGGCGGGCCCTCTGACCCCGGAGTCCTCGGCCGGTGCATGAGGCGGGAGACCGCACACAGGACGGGTACAGGGGTCAGGACGAGAGAAGGGACGGGAAGGACCAAAGAGGTGAGGACACAGGACGGCCAGGGGGCGTGGGCAGGTCAGGAGGCCTCCCTGCGGAGGAGACGGCTCTGGAGCTGAGACTGGAAGGGAAGCCAAGAGACAAAGGAGCAGGGACCCCCAGGAGGAGGGGGCCCTGCAACAGTCGGCGCTGCGGGCGAGACCAGGCCCCGAGCGAGGGGGTCACTGGGCCACCCGGCCTGGTCCTGAGCACACAGCCCTCCTGGATGAACCCCGGGCCATGGCGTGGGGGCCCTCAGATTTGGCATCTGCTGAGAACGTGGGATGGGCCGTGGAAGACACCAGGCCACCAGTCAGGAGGTCCAAGAAACCCCAGGGAAAAGGGGAAGGGTCTGTCCAGCATCTTCTTCTCCGACCCTCTGGGTGGTGCTGCCCGACTCTGCCTGTAGCCTGCTTTTCTTTCTGACGCTAACCCGTATCTCCAATCATCGCATGTTTGCGTTTGTTCAGCGTCTCTCTCCCGGACTCACGTGCTCCATGAGGTTAGGAACGAGGTCTGAAGGGTGGGCCCACGGCAGGCCCCTGACAAGCCTTTGCTGAATGACTGGGTGATGGCAAGTCCAGATGACGTCTGGTGAGGGGCACCCTGCCTTGGGACCACACCTACTACATCCCCTGAGGGCGCCCCGAGCCTGCAGCCGCCTCACTTCACCCCACTCAGTGGTGAAGACACGCATTCCCACGTTACTGTGAGCCTCCAGACCCGCCAAGCGCCGGAGCCGACTGGCGAGACCTGGGAAGAAATGTTTGGTCTTACTGACAGCGGGGCGAACAAATGCAGACGGAGAGGCTGACAATGTCGTATGATCAGCAGCCCAGCTTTCAGTCCTTTCTCAGTATTTGTCTTTCCTAATCAGGGGGTTATGAATTATCAATTACGCTTAGTGGTTAATTGCCCTTCATAAAGACAGCTTTTGTATTTTTAAATTAGGCAGTTAATATATTGTAACTAATAGCATCACCTTGTATATTACGGGCAGATCTTCCACTGATTGGTGCCTGGAATGTGTGATCCGCACCCAAGTTAATGGAGCAGTTGAGGGAAGAAGGTGGCGGGTGCCGGGGGACTAATTATTGCTAATGGATTACGATGTGACCTTCTCAGAACAGTGAGCAATTGGTGTGACGGTGAGATGACAGGACCTCGCAGCTGCTATTCCAAACACAGCTCTGATGCCCATGAAACACAGGTAAACAACAGAACTCACTGCAGACAGTTCTCCGCTGACACACGACGTACGTTTACTGAAGACGCACTGCTTTAAAATCAAAAGTACTCAAATGGAGAAAGTAACATGGAAACCTCTACACTACCATATGTGAAACAGATAGCCAGTGGGAATTTGCTATATGACTCAGAGAGCTCAACCCGGGACTCTGTGACCACCTAGAGGGGTGGGATGGTGCAGGAGGTGGGAGGGAGGTCAGACGGAGGGGACACGTGTACACCTGTGGCTGATTCACGTTGTTGTATGGCAGAAACCAACATGATATTGTAGTTATCCTCCAATTAAAAATAAAATGAAATTACTAGTTTTAGGACTGAATCAGCCCCCGGACATCGGTGGGAAATGCTTGGGGAAGGCCCCTCACTGTTGGTCTGTCCTGTCCCTGACCACACCCTCTTTTCACTTCCTGGTATGAGCCCCAGGTCCTCTCTTCATTTTTCTTAATTACTAAAAGTAACAAAAGTACTGGTTGGATGGATGCGTGCATGCTCAGTCGTGTCTGACTCTTCGCAACCCTTCGGACTGTAGCCTGCCAGGCTCCTCGGTCCATGGGATTCTCCAGGCAAGAATACCAGCATGGGTTGCCATTTTCTCCTCCAGGGGATCTTCCTGACCCAGGGATAGAACCATCGTCTCCTGTGTCTTCTGCATTGTAGGTGCATTTCTTTTTTTTTTACCACTGAACCATCAAGGAAGCCCTAAAGTATTATTCATTATTATTAAAAATAGTAAAGGATGACTATGTTACATTCAGCCTTGCCTTGGGGGTAAGTATCAGGGACCTGATGTCATCCTCACCCCTTGAGGGCAGAGCCCCCTATGGACACCCTGTGTCCCCCGCATGCACCCCCAGGGCCAGGAGCCTGGAGCGCAGAAGGCTCTAAGCACCTGCCATATTGAGTCTGCGAGCTATGGAGGCAAGAACCAGGAGCCCCGTCCCAGGGATGAGAAAACAGGAGCTCTGGGAGGCAGACACCTGAGAAGGTCACCCCGCCCTCCATCTCGTAAGCTGACCCCCTCAGGAGGTAAATGAAGGTTAGGAGAGGATGGAAGGGTGGGGCTGTGACGCGACAGGATCACAGCCACAGACGCCAGGGATCCCTCTGCGACCACAGAGAGAAGGCCACGTCAGGGCACAGCTGAAGGGGGCCGCCTAGCAAGCCGGGAAGAGGGCTCCCCCCCACCAGAAACCCACCCTAGAGGCACCTTGATCTCAGATGCCCAGACTTCAGGACTGGGGGCAGATAAACCTCTGTCGCTGAGCCCCCCACGCTTGTGGTACTCTGGTTCCGGCAGACTAAGGCCGTGGGGGAGCCAAAGCCTTGGCGACTCTTGGAGGGGTTGCTGCTAATATCAGATTCAGCCTTGGACGGCCTGGAACACATGAACCCAAAGTCAGGAGAGCGGGAGCCAGGTGTGGCTTCAGGGCCGCGAACCCCAGGGACGCTGGCACCGGGCTGGGCCTGGCTCCAGGACAGGCCAGGCCATCCCCGACCCCCAACACCCCAGGACCCTGGGGACAGAGGGCCTACCGCAGGGCCCCGGCAGCCAGAGTGGGGCTCCGGCCGGACGTCCCCTCTGAGACCACAGCCACGTCCTCAGTCTGCTGTGCCTCCCCGGACCCCCCCCTGCCCCGAGCAGGTGGGGACTTGCCCCTACTTCCCATGGGCGCACCGGCTCTTTGAACTGACCTTTACCTCCTCCGAGAGGCCGGGACAAGCTCTGAGTGACAGCGTCGCCTGATGCCATTACCGAGCATCACATGAGCGGGTCCCTTGCAAATCACCTTGGACCTCACACATCTGCTAGCTGTCGGCATCTGCCAGGGGCGCTCACCCGAAAATAATGGAAACCCTCTCATTATCGCTCGGGAGCAGGTAGAGCGCTGGGACGATTACTGGACATCCTGGCTGACCTTGGCACAGCTCCACCGCCCAGTGCCCTCCGGGCTCACCAGAGAGGAGCTGGACAGCGGCAAGGAGGCTGCCCTGGGTAAGGCCCCTCCGAGCTCAGTCCCCACCCGGCCCCTGCCACCTCTCACCTTCATCTGACCCCAAAGGCCCTCGCATCACCCTGAGTCTTTGCTGTCACCCACCCCCTATGGCAAATCCTACGCGTCCTTCAAAGCCTGGTTCATATGTCCCTTCCTCCAGGAAGGCCCCCAGACTTCTCTCCCCGCCCAGGCAGAGTCTGTCCTCTTCCCTCTCGCCTTTCACAGCTCTAGAAGCACAGCAGCGCTTTTCTGTGAGACCCACTTAAGTGACCCAAATTCTCATGGAACCAGCTCATTTTAGCACCCAGAGAACCTCGGGAGGGCTCACTGCCAATCCTGCCATGGGCAGCACTGCTTCAGTGTCTGTTAGGTTTAGGGCTGGGGCTGGGGCTGGGGTTGGGGTTGGGGAAAGCACAGTGGAGCCTGCTGAGTCCAGATGGGTAGACGGGAGGACAGGCCTTTGCACAGGGATGCAGGGCAAGTCATGCCTTCCTGCAGCCAAGGGACAAACGCATGAGACGCTCTAATGCTGAGCGGGAGGCCAGGAGGTCAAGGAGTGACCCAGAGGGGCTCCAGGGTCTGATGACTATGGGCTGTGGCACCTCCACAAGCTATTTCTCCTCCCTGGGGCCCAGTTTCCTCATCCAGAAGATGGGATGATAACAGCCTCACGTGCTGAACCTCCAGGGAGATATTCGAGGTGCCAGCTTGGGCCTGGCCCATGGTCAGAGCTCGCTCAGGGTGTGCGGAGAACATCGGCCAGTAAGTGGCCAGCAGACAGGCTCCCCAATCTCGTTCCCGGCCCCCCTCCCTGCCCCCACTGCCCAGAGCAGGCGGGCCCTCCCCCACCACGCTCTA